GGCGGCTGGACCAGAGACACCAGAGAGTTCACCTGCACAGCGCAGCCTGCGCAATTTGGAGGGCAAAGCTGACCCAGGAGTGCCACCCGCTGCTCCCTGGACACTTCCCTCAGAGCCGTGAGGCTGCACGACCAGTCAGTGAGAGAGAACCTGAGCCACGCCTCATGGCACGCGGGGTACCCGCGGAGCCTGTTCCTGCAGTCAGGCGGGGCCTGCCCAGACTCCCGGGCCTTCAGGACTCCGAATTGTAATGGAGCCCAAGGCTGCCCACAAGAGGGGCAGCAGCCTCCCAGGGCTGGGGCCAGGGAACAGGCCATCAGGAGCATGACCTCCATGCTGGCCACTGGCCCCCTGAGCTTCCTGCAAGCAGCAGGAACCACCCGGAGCTGGACAAGGGGCCAGCCCAGCTCAGGCCCACACCAGGAGTGGGGAAAGGGGGTTGCCTGTGGAAGGCCAGGCCCTGGAGCGGCCCCGCCAAGGCTCGTGGGTTGAAGGCAGGGCCCCACTGTGGGCCTTCGGGCTGTGCCTCCAGAGCCCGGCTTGGAGTCCAGCAGTATGTGCCTCTGGTCACCCTCTCCCAGTCCATGGGGTCTTAGGGGCCCAGTACCCAAGCCTTCCATCCTCAGGGGAGGAGGCTCCACCTGGAGGAGCTGCCCGTCCCTGTCTCTAGCCGCTGCGAGACCGTCTTTGAACCCACAGCTACACTGGGCTGAACAGGTGGGTCTCCCCAGGAGACTAGGGGTGGGGACATCTTCAGGCCTCTCAGCTCTCTGAAGGGCGTACTGGGGGTCCAGCAGGGATGGCCGTCTGTGACCTCCGGCATCTGGGTTGTTTGCTCCTGGCCTTGCAGTCTGTCTGGCCTCAGCCTTCACCTGGGCCTCAAGCCTCCCCCCACCCGCCGGGCCCTGGCCACCCTACCTCCTCCGTGGCTCTGGCACAGGTAGGGGAAGCGCCACACGTTGCCGAGGCCCACGCAGAAGCCCACACAGGTGAGCATGTACTGGGTCTTGTTGTCCCACTGGGGCCGGGAGCTGGCCTCCTTCTTCTCGATGCTCTCCAGCTCATCCAGGGAAGGGATCCGGTCCTCCAGGCCCGGGTTGGGCAGCACGAGCCTCACCATGGTGGTCACTGAGCTGGGCCTGGCACGCGCAGGCACGACGGGAGCCAGAGGGCAAGTGGCGGAGGCTGGGAGCCCAGTGCTTTATAGGGAACCTTTGGCACCTCACCCGAGCACCTGGGTGGAAGGAGGCGTCAGCAGATCAGCAGGGTGCGTCTCAGCTGCAGTTAATGCCTTATCTGCCCATCCCAGGGCCCTGGAGCCACCCCCTGCTGCAGACAGGAGGCCCCGGCTGGCCGCCCCTCCCCTGTGCAAACACAGACATCGTGGGGGGAGTGCAGCCCCAGGCCAGGGCCAGGCCTGCTCCCTGGGAAGAGGGGCCCGAGGCAAATAGATGGTATCTGCTGGCCCTGCCTGGCCCCGGAGGATACTGGTCCTCTGGGTCCTTGGAGCAGCGGCATCTCCTCCCTGCAGGAAGCTGGGCAGGTCTCCTGTCAGCCCCTTCCAAGTCAGGCTGTCCTCTGGACATTGCTGACCCCAGTCCAGGGGAGGGGGGAAAGCCCTGTGCCGGTACTGGACATTGCCTGTGGTGGGAGGGCTGTGTGGCTCGGGTCCCTCCCGGCGGAGCCCTGGGAGGGCGGCCCTGCCTGTGCGGCCCGCAGCCTCTTTCCTCTAGGGCACTGTGCGGCTGCATTGTGCCCGGGCAGTGCCGGGCTGCGGCACCCCTGCTCCCCGCTGGGGCGCCAAGGTACTGCGCCAGGGTTCATCTGTGCCAAGACTGGAGCGGAGTGGGGGTGGTGGCAGGAGCTCGGGTGGGGACGCCTCCAAGCTGGGCCCTGCCCATCTGGCCCCATGGCCCCTCTCCCCTCAGGAGCCACCTGGGCTCCAAGACCCCCACTGGGCCTCCCTGAGGTGACCCTGGTCCTCTCCCCAAGCCCATGTCCTGGCTACTTTATTTCTCCAGCAGCCAGCCCCGCTGCAGGAGGAGCCCCCAAGCCAGACTCGGTCCCACCCTCCACCTGGCTCCATCTCGGGGCGAGGGCATCCCTTGGGGTCAGCAAGCTCAGGCTGGCCTTTGCCCATGTGGGGTGCTCAGAGGGTGGGGGCCAGAGACGAGGCTTGCCCCTGAGAGCATCTGGCTTCCAGGGTATCAGAGCCAAGGGAGGGCGGGGCTCTGGAAGAGGCTGCAGAGAGACAGAGACCGTCAGAGACAGGGAGGGGGAGACGGAGGGGCAGAGAGGTAGAGACAGAGACACAGGGAGGCAGAGACAGAGACAGAGACCGTCAGAGACAGGGAGGGGGAGACGGAGGGGCAGAGAGGTAGAGACAGAGACACAGGGAGGCAGAGACAGAGACAGAGACCGTCAGAGACAGGGAGGGGGAGACGGAGGGGCAGAGAGGTAGAGACAGAGACACAGGGAGGCAGAGACAGAGACCGTCAGAGACAGGGAGGGGGAGATGGAGGGGCAGAGAGGTAGAGACAGAGACACAGGGAGGCAGAGACAGAGACAGAGACAGTCAGAGACAGGGAGGGGGAGACGGAGGGGCAGAGAGGTAGAGACAGAGACAGAGACCGTCAGAGACAGGGAGGGGGAGACGGAGGGGCAGAGAGGTAGAGACAGAGACACAGGGAGGCAGAGACAGAGACAGAGACAGTCAGAGACAGGGAGGGGGAGACGGAGGGGCAGAGAGGTAGAGACAGAGACACAGGGAGGCAGAGACAGAGACAGAGACAGTCAGAGACAGGGAGGGGGAGACGGAGGGGCAGAGAGGTAGAAACAGAGACCCAGGAGGCACAGACAGAGACAGAGACAGTCAGAGACAGGGAGGGGGAGACGGAGGGGCAGAGAGGTAGAGACAGAGACACAGGGAGGCAGAGACAGAGGCAGAGACAGAGACAGTCAGAGACAGGGAGGGGGAGACGGAGGGGCAGAGAGGTAGAGACAGAGACACAGGGAGGTAGAGACAGAGACAGAGACAGTCAGAGACAGGGAGGGGGAGACGGAGGGGCAGAGAGGTAGAGACAGAGACACAGGGAGGCAGAGACAGAGACAGAGACAGTCAGAGACAGGGAGGGGGAGACGGAGGGGCAGAGAGGTAGAAACAGAGACCCAGGAGGCACAGACAGAGACAGAGACAGTCAGAGACAGGGAGGGGGAGACGGAGGGGCAGAGAGGTAGAGACAGAGACACAGGGAGGCAGAGACAGAGGCAGAGACAGAGACAGTCAGAGACAGGGAGGGGGAGATGGAGGGGCAGAGAGGTAGAGACAGAGACACAGGCAGACAGAGACAGAGACAGAAACAGTCAGACAGAGACAGACAGGGAGGTGGAGACGGAGGGGCAGAGAGGTAGAGACAGAGACACAGGGAGGCAGAGACAGAGACAGAGACAGTCAGAGACAGGGAGGTGGAGATGGAGGGGCAGAGAGGTAGAGACAGAGACACAGGGAGGTAGAGACAGAGACACAGGGAGGCAGAGACAGAGACCGTCAGAGACAGGGAGGGGGAGATGGAGGGGCAGAGAGGTAGAGACAGAGACACAGGGAGGCAGAGACAGAGACAGAGACAGTCAGAGACAGGGAGGTGGAGATGGAGGGGCAGAGAGGTAGAGACAGAGACACAGGGAGGCAGAGACAGAGGCAGAGACAGAGACAGTCAGAGACAGGGAGGGGGAGATGGAGGGGCAGAGAGGTAGAGACAGAGACACAGGCAGACAGAGACAGAGACAGAAACAGTCAGACAGAGACAGACAGGGAGGTGGAGACGGAGGGGCAGAGAGGTAGAGACAGAGACACAGGAGGCACAGACAGAGACAGAGTTACAGAGGCAGAGACAGAGACACTGAGAGGTAGACATAGAGACAGAGGCAGACAGAGATAGAGGTAGAGACAAGCAGAGATAGAGAGACGGAGGCAGAGAGACAGAGATATAGAGGGATAGAGGTAGAGACAGAAGCAGTGACAGAGAGATACAGATATAGAAATAGACACAGAGCAATAGAGACACAGAGACAGAGAAATACATACAGAGATGTAGAGACAGGAACAGAGACACACAGATACAGAGAGACAGACAGAGACAGAGACAAATAAAGAAATGGAGACAGGTACAGAGACAAAGAGAAACATAGACACCCAGTAACAGACCCAGAAAGACAAAAGCAGATAAGAGACAGACAGAGACTGAGGGAGACGACAGAGATGGAGAGACGGGGAGGCAGGGCTGTGTGGGGATAGGAGGAGGTGAGGCCCGGCCCTGAGGGCCAGCCAGGAGAGCCCGGGCCCAGCTTTCCTCGAGTGTGGTGTGAGGCCCACAAGGGAAGGCCAGAATGGGGACAGTCTCTGTCCCCAAAGTCCCCATGGCACAGCCCTGGCCTGTGGTCCCTGGGGCTTTCTCTTCACCCACACCCTCCAGAAGGTCCTGCCAAAGCTGGATGTGGGCTGCTCTTAGTGCAGTGAGCCCCAGATCCTGTGTGTGCATTGCAAACACGCTAATGCCGCGTTTCCTGTGGAAGTCCCCGGAAATGGCTCTGGCAGAAAGCCCCGTGCAGGGTGAGCAGGCGGGGCCTCCCCATCAGGTTCTGGGGTGCTGCCCAAGGCTGTCAAGCCCTGGGCCACCTGTGGAGCTCCTTTTGGGCACCCTCGGGGCATGTCCAGATGGCCCAACTGTCCCCGACTGCAGGTTTCTATCAAGCTCACGTGAAGTGTCCTATGGGCTGGGTGGCCTCCAGGGCAGCTGTGTCTCTGGATCCACAGAGTCTGTGCCTGCAGGTTAGGGGGACGGTGATGTCGATTTTGCCCACATTTCACTGAACAGAGCGTCAGGCTCCCCTGACCCTGTGGGGGGAGGGTGCAGTCTGTGGAGGCAGCGTGGGTGGGGCAGGGATGTGGTGGGCACCACGGTGGCCGGGCTGGACTAGGCCAGGCGTGAGGCTGCCTCACACCCGGGCTTTGGGCCTCTGGCTTTGCTCTGATGTGTGGACGGTCATGCCCTCCAGCCTCCTGGTAGAGGAAGTGGCCATCCAGCTGTCCATCTTCTGCATCTGCAGACAGCGTCCCCTCAGACTGTCATCTGCCCTGTTTGTGGTTAGCATCTGAGTCTGTCGGTCACGGCAGGCTGAGCAGTGACCAGGCTAGCTGGTCGAGTCCTCCACAGGGGTGGTCTCTGGACATCGCTGGGCCCTGTGGTGGGTCCCAGTGGAGTCAGGCACCTGGACCTGCCAGGCCTTCAGGGGCACCTGTGTGGCAGGCCACCTGGATGGCTCCAGTGGCCCACGGGTGCCCGGAGCCAGATGAAGGGGTGCGGGGCACCTGCTCCCTCTCCTGGGGCCTCTGCTCCTGTGTCCCTGCCTGCTCCATCAGGAGGAAAGGTGACACCCCTGGGTGGGTGGAACGCATGCTCTGCGGGAACGCTGAGGGCACGCGTGAGTGGACTCTGCAGGACACCAGGCTCAGCTCTCGGCCACTGTGACGCGCAGGGGGCCCAGTGGGCACCAGAGTGGAGCCAAGCATCTCCAACGGGATCGACGTCCCCGGGACTCCGCAGCCCTCTCATCCACCCTCCCCAAACGGGTGGCAGGGATAGACCACCGGCCAAGCCATGGGGGTCCCGCCGGGGCCGGCCACCGGGCCACAGCCCACTGGGCCCTGGCCGCCAGCCTCTGCCAGCAGGTCAGGACGATTGCCTGGGAGGCACTGGACAGCGTGGAAACACTGGGCCTGAGCAGCTCTGAACTGCAGGGACCCCATCCTGTCCCTTTGTCCCTTGGACATCACTGGGACACACAGAAGTAGCAGGTGGCGTGAAGCCCAGCTGTGCTGTCACTGTCGTGGGTTTGGGAGGGTAGAGCCAGGAGCTGGCTAGGGACTGAGGTTGGGCATCCCCCCGGGGACAGGACAGCAATCTGTAGGCCCTGGCGCTCCGCCCAGGAAGGCTGGGAGGAGGATCTCAGCACCCTGAGGGCCCTCTCCCACCCGGCCTCGGGGCAGGCTGGCTCAGGGGATGGCTGTGGAGAACCCCATCCCGTGACAAGCTGCCGTTAACCTTTGTCTCCCGCGGCTGCTTGTTCAAGGAGACGCTGCCCGTGAAGGTTGCTGAGCAGCGGCAGCCTCAGAAGTCACGGGACGTCAGGGCCCCTGCTCCCCTGCCTGTTGACTCTGGGCTGGAGCTAAGCCCACAGGATTAGCCCCCGCCCCCAGGCCTCCTGGCCATGTTTGTGTCCCTCTGTCTTCGTCTCCCAGAGCCCAGTCTCTGCCGGGGAGATACCGAGGGCAGGGAGCGCGGACACGGAGCAGGGCCGCTCTCGCCTGGCGTGGGTGTGCTCCCTGGGGGCGCAGGCCAGCCGGCCACTCTGGTCACGGGGACCGGGCTTTCCAGCACACCTGCCACAGCGGAGCCGGGCGTGTCCCTGCACTCCCACTCGGCCTGGTGGAGTCGCATTCCTGTCTGTGTGTCACTACTGCTGCCTGAAAGGGCACTTGTTGGCAACGTGGGTCTCTGAGGAGAGGCCCAGACGACGCGGGGGCAGGACAGGGTGCAGCTGGCCCTGAGTGACGATGGCGGCTGAGCCTGGGAGCCACGCAGGCAGCCCGGGTGAGCAGAGCCACGGGCGCCCACATCCCCATGGGCAGCCGGGGCGGGCCTTGCTCCCTGACCATAGATGCCCTGGCCCAGGGGCTGGGGGTGACCTGGGAGCCCACATTGTCCACTTCAGCTGACACTTGGGAAAAGAGGAGATGGACAGTGTCCTCCTAGGTAAAGGGTGACAGGTAGTTTTGTTTTCAGATTAATAATGGTGAGCAGACACAGCAGGACACACCCGTATTCCTGGCCACTTGGGCGTCTGAGGCAGGAGGATCCCTTGAGCCCAGCTTGAGATCAGCCTGGACAACCCTGTCCCCCAGAATAAAACCAGTTGGGTGCAAAGGCACAGGTCTGTGACCCTGGCACATCGGAGGCTGCGTGGGAGGATGGCCAGTTCAAAGCCAGCCTCAGCAACTTGGCAAGAGCCCATCTCAAAGTGAAATAAAAATCGCTGGGGATGCAGCTGGTCAGGGAGCCCTGGGCTCAATCCCCAGTGACTAGTTAGTCAATAAGATTGAAAACGGCCGTGCTGATCATACTCACAGCTTCTGTGAACAGGGAAGGACCACATCTAATAACATGTCTGAAAAGTGCAGAACAGATACAAAGAGATGAGAGGAAAGGCAGCGAAGACCAGGTCACTCAGCGTGTCCCAATGCCTGTACACGCTGTTACGTGTGTATGAGACACGCATGTTCACAGCACACCGCTTCGCCTCTCTCCCTGGGCTGGCAAGGAGCCTGAGGCCCTGGCCCTGAGCACTGTCCACAGGAGCAGAGCGCCAGGTGGATGTCCTCTGCCCTTGGTGGCAGTGCGTTGTGAGTCTCAGCTGCCATGACACCTTTGCTCACTGGGATGGGGTTCTCCAGAAGTGCCCCCTGGACACAGGTGGTGAGCAGGCTGGGGCGGGGCTTCTCTGCAGCCCTTGCTGGATGGGTGGCGGGAGTCATCTCCTGGGCCCTGGTGGCCTCTTTGGTTTCCGGCTGGGGTGACATTTATAGGTCTTCTCCTGCACACAGCCCTGTCCTGGAGCGATTCCCAGGGACTGGGCATATACACTTTGTCCTTTGAGAACTTGGCCAGCACGTGGGGGGCTGTGCACAGGGCCGAACACGGGGCCTCTGTAGGGCCACTTAGGGCCAGGACAGGCCCTGTGCAGTCAGATTGGGTGAGCCCTCTGCTGACCTCCAGGATGGCCCTCACCATGCAGTCCAGGTGGCCTCCAGGGCCCCTGGTGGTCAAATGCTGGTCTCCATGTCCTGTTGAGGATTGGCCCAACCCAGGGCCAGGCAGTGAGAAGGCTGCTTTCCGGGGGGGGGGGGCACCAGGAGACCAGCAGAGCTCAGGTCTGGTGCAGAGGGGGAGGCTGGGCCCAGACTCAGGGTCCCGGAGCCACCCGGTGAACCTGTGAAGTCTGTCAAGGTGGCAGAGCCAGGGCCATGCTCAGGGCTGGGGCTGGGCAGGGAGGCGCTGAGGGCCGTGCCCGGCTGCCCCAGCCTGGTGGAGGGATCCTCTTGTCTGTGCACCTGACCCCAGAGCCTTGGCAGAGCAGTGAGGCCGTGGAGCGGGGCCGGAAGGCCACCTGGAGAGACACCAAGGTCACAGCACGATCCCCACCCTAGCAACCGTTCTGTTCCTGCTTGGGCCTCTGTGGAAACCGGTAAAGTGGTCCTTGAGCAAGGGGTCCTGCATGACTGACCACCCGTCACATCGTCTTGGAGGACGCCTCTGGCCAGTGCTCTCCAGGAGGCGACCGTGCCCTGCCAAGTGTGCACAGGGAGAAGGCTGCGCAGGGGTGGGGCCTGGAGACCTGCGGCCCTTCATCCCACGGGCCTGTCCGGGCCAGGCTGCTCCCCAGATCCCTGGACCCCTGTTCCTGCCGACTTGAGCCCTTCTCCAAAGTCTCCTGGGACAACCTTCAGTCTCTTCTCCCCCAGCCTCGTTCACCGGGATCCACCCCGGTGCCTTTACCCTTCACCTCCCCACCCTCAAGACACCAGCTCAGCTCCAAGATACACGAAGCCCTTCCCCCAGCCCCTTCATGGCCCAGCCAGCCTGTCCCCTCTCACAGCCTGCCCTGTTCTGGTTGGGAGCTCTGGGACTGTTCCCGGAGCGCAGGGCTCCCAGGAGCACACATCCCTCTGCTCCCAGGTCCCCCGGCCCTGCCTCCATCCTGCCCGGGGACAAGCTGGCCCACCTCTTTCTGGTCTTCCTACGGCTGGCCCTGCGTCCTCCGCGGCCCAGTGGGTTGGGTGCAGGGTGTAGTTTGACCTCTGCCCTGCCCTGCCCAGGGCCGCTGAGGGTTTTGCCTTCCTGCCCCTGCACGGGCATCCGGAGCCCTGCCTCTGTGCATCTGTGATGTGCCCTGACCTCAGAGTTGGCCCCGGGGTAATGACAGAGCATTCCCAGGTGATTACAAGGTCTGAAGAGTGACTCTCAGGAACACGGCCTGGATTGCTGACTGAGCCCTGAGCGCCCGTTCACGACCATTGGTGTAGGCTGGGGTGTGGCTCAGTGGGGAGCAGCCAGCCTTCTCAAGGCCTCTGAGTCTGAACCCAGCATTGGGGAAAAGGAAAAGGCGCGTGGCTTGGTCTCATTTTTGGGGGGCGGGGTACCTAGATTGAACTCAGGGGCACTCGACCACTGAGCCACATCCCAGCTCTATTTTGTATTTTATTTAGAGACAGAGTCTCACTGAGTTGCTTAGCCCCTCACTTTTGCTGAGGCTGGCTGTGAACTCCCCATCCTCCTGCCTCAGCCTCCCGAGCTGCTGGGATTACAGGCGTGCCCCGCGGTGCCCGGCTTGGCTTTTCCTCTTTGACAGGCAAAGTGAGGCCTGCAGCTGTGTGCCCCGTGTTGAACCGAAGTGCCTGGAAGCCCACGGGCACATCTTGTTGCAGGAGTGAGGTCACAGTGCAGCTCCGAGGAGCCCCTGGGAGAAGGCACCCGGCCTCCCTGGCAGGCAGGAAGTGATGCCAAGCCCGTGAGCCCCCATCCTGGCTCTGCTGGGACACGGCTTGCACTCCTCCAGGGCAGCGCTGGACAAAGGCGGCTGCCCGAGCCCCCAGCTCAGCTCTTTCTGACCTGCTGCTCATCCCGGCCTCCTTCCTCACAGGGTGCGGGGCTGCCCCAGGGCTTCCCCCAGGCCCACTTGGCGAGGTTTCCTCCTCTGTGTGAGGCTGCAGCCAGGAAGGGGGCTTGCTGGTGGGAGAGCTGAGGACCGAGGCGTTTGCAGGCAGCCTGCGGCAGTGCCTTCACCTGGTGGGGCTCTGACCCCCGCAACCTCCCGGAAGAGAAGGCAGACAGCCCCCTCCCCCTGAGGCCACTCTCCACCTGCTCGGACCAGCCAAACGCCTAACGTGAACGTGAGCACCTGCCAAGCACCTCCTGTGAGCAGGTGTGGGTGCCTGAAGGCCCGTCCCACCCACCGGGAGAGGCACGCCGAGGGAGGGGCACTCGGGTGTCCCCAGACACCGCAGCCTGTGGGGCAGCTGCAGTGAGAACTGGTGGAGACAGAGGAGGAGCCTCCTGGGACAACGCCAGTGCTCCCCAGGCGCCAGCAGGACGCGCGAGTCAGGGACTGGTGGCCGGAGGCTGGAAAGACCACCTGTCCCCGGCCAGGAGGATGGAGGCTCAAGGCCCCGGGGCCCTTCTGAGCAAGGGTGCTGGCAGCATGGGAGGGCCTGCGAGGAGGCCCTGGCCCAGGGAGGGACTCAGGGGCTCCGTGGAGAGCACCTGAGACCGGTGGGCAGAGCCCCGAGTGGGAAACAGGCCAGGCTCAAGGACGCGTGGCCGGAGGGGCTGGAGTGAAGGCAGAAGGAGCCGGGCTGCTGAGCAGACCTGGCTTCCGGGGTTTGGCGTGGACGGTGGAGGTCGGGTGTGATCTTGGGGTTCTTGGCCAGGGTCCGGAGGACAAAGTCACAGTTGGGGAAGCCCGGGGGACGGGCAGGGGAAGCCCAAGGGGCAGCTGTGTGGTGAGTCAGGAGCCAGGAGCCAAATGGAGTTACTGACTGGCAGGTGCTAAGGTCGAGGGAGGATGGAGGAGGGGCCGGAGGTCAGAGTGGCAGGTGAGGTCCAGGGAGGAAGGAGGAGGGAGCAGGGTGGACTTCCCCAAGTCCATGGGGCTGGCAGGAAAGTCCTTCCTCGGCTTTCAGTGACCTCAGCCTCAGGGCTGTGTCTCTGGGGTAGGAGCCCCTGCCCCGCTCCCTGCAGGTGTGTGCTCCTCCGGGGTCCGGCTCCAGTGGGGAGCCAGGCCCCGCCCCTCCCTCTGTCTGCCCCCCTCGGGCTACCCATCTCCCCTCTTATCTTTCTCCCTCCCCTCCTCCCCTCCCGTCCAGGGGCAGGCGTGGCCGGCTATCTCTGGGACCCTGCCTGAAGACAGGTCTCTAAACTGTCCCGTCTATCTTACTTGGCCCTGGGGCGAGGCCTGACCCCACCTGGACCCTTAGTCACTGTGGCCCAGAGCCTGGTCCTGCCCTCAGTGCTCCATCAGAAAAACCTTGGAGCAAGTGCCTGGGCCACTGCCAACCTCAGCATCAGCAGTAAGACTGCCCGCAGGGAGGGCGGGGCCCTTCAGCTCCTGGAAGATTCCACCAGACTCCCCCAGGTCAAGGTGCAGAGCTGCCTCTTCTGAAGTGCTGAAAAGACAGAAAGGCCCTAGAGCCTCACGGATCGCCAGAGTGGGCGGGAAATCCAGGGCTCCTGGGTCAGTGGCCAAGGGAGGGTGCTCAGGGCTGGGCCTGCTCTGGGCCCTGGGTGCTTCCTGGAAACCTTGAAAGTGGGGGAAAGCTCTTTTAGGATGGTTTTGCCGTTCCCAGGGGCCAGGCTGTGGCGCTCCTTGATCCAGGGGTGCCCACTCCGCATGTCCTGCAGGAACTGCTCCTGAGCCCAGGAGAAATCCCACCAGATGAAGGGCCCAATGTGTGGCTGGGTGCATCTGCCTGGGTGAAGGCTGGGTGAATGGCTGGGTGGGTGGCTGGGTGAAGGCTGGGGTGAAGGCTGGGTGAAGGCTGGATGAATGGCTGGATGAATGGCTGGGTGAAGGCTGGATGAATGGCTGGGTAGCCGGGTGGGTGGCTGGGTGAAGGCTGGGTGAAGGCTGGGTGGCTGAGTGGCTGGGTGAAGGCTGGGTGAAGGCTGGGTGAATGGCTAAATGGCTGAGTGGCTGGGTGGGTGGATGGCTGGGTGGGTGGATGGATAGATGGATGGCTGATTTGGTCAATGGGTGGATGGATAGGTGGGTGGGTGAATCAATGGGTGGGTATATGGATGAATGGATCAATAGGATGTAAGGGTGAATGGATGAAGGATGGGTGGATGGATGAGTGGTGGGTGGTTGGATGAGTGGTTGCGTAGATGGGTAGATGGGTGCATTGATGGGATGAATGGATGGGTGGGGGTGTGGCTGGTGGGGGTGTGGGTGGGGAGGCAGCAGAGCTGACAGGAGCACTCGTCTGAGCTTGGAGGGGGCTCAGGCAGGGCTTGGCATCCCAGGTTTGGTTGGGGACTGTCACTCAAGCTGCTTGGGTCCAGCACTCTCCTGCTGATTCTACAGAGGGAAAGATCGCCACCCTTAGAAAGACTTTCCCTCATCATAAAGCAATTCCGTTCAGTGTAGAAAATCCGGAAACGGAAAAGGGCTACGAGTGCTGGGCCATCAGGAGGCCGAGGACACAGTCCCCACGCTGAGCGCTCGGACTCGGGCCTTGCTCCCTGGGTCTGAGCGGCAGGGGTTGGGGCCCTGGGGGCTCCAGGGAGCATCTTCCAGCCCTGTCTCGGCCCTCAGACCAAGGGTGTGCTTCTGGGAGAGGGGACATGGGGACTCTGGGCACAATGGCTCCAGGCTCCTGGCTCCACAAGGCTGCCCCACAGGGCCGCTGCTGGGCAGAGTGGCCCCCGCACCCCTCCAGCCCTGAAGATCCCAGAGTCCAGACCCTGGAGGCAGGAGTGGGGCGGGGGCCGAGCAAGGAGGAGGGCGCAGGCAGTGGAGAGGGACACTGGAGGCCTTTGGCCGTCTCTGCAGGGGGCGGGGGATGGGATGCAGTTTTCCAGAGTTCTGCTTGTTCCTGTCCAGAATGCCCAGTGTGCAGGACCGGGGGGGGGGACAGGGCTCTTTCCAGTTCTGCCCACTCCTCTGCCAGGCTGAGCCACGGACTGGTCGGTTTTCTCGTGGGCCAGGTGCTGCATCCCAGGACAGGCAGGAGGGCTGGGCCACCTGCCCAGACCAAGCAGGGACAGGAAGCTGCGGGTGGCTGGGGTGGCTTCCTGCCCCTGCTGCAGAATCGCGCCCCTCAGGACCGTGCAGGGCTGCAGCTGCCCTACTGTTCCTGCGTTCCCAGGCTGAGGCCCAGCTTCTACCTGGAAACCCCGGCCGGGCCCACGTGGGCACGGGGCAGAGGGCCTTGTGAGGAGGCTGCGTGCAAAGGGGCCGTGAGGACAGGGCCTTAGCTGTTCTGATCACTGTAACAAGGCTCCACAGGCAGAGGCTCGAAGATCTGAAACCACGGTCCCCGTCCTAGAGGCCAGAGGCTGAAGATGGAGGCATCTGGTGAGGTGGCTGCGTCCCTGCCGCGTCCTCACTGTTGGAGAAATCCCTCATCAGCACCTGCAACTTTCAGAAGGGCCCCGAGTCCCCAGAGCCCCTCCCTTGAGACCTCCTCCCCTGCTGAGTTCTAACACATCACCTCAAGGTGAGCAGCCAGACCTGGAGTCCTCAGCCGAGAACGGGGCCAGGTGGAGAGGGTGGAGAGGGCCACGGGATAGGGCCACGTGGACAGGGTGGAGAGGGCCACGGGGAGAGGGTGGAGAGGGGCCACGGGGAGAGGGGGAGAGGGGCCACGGGGAGAGGGGGAGAGGGGCCACGGGGAGAGGGGGAGAGGGGCCACAGGAGAGGGTGGAGAGGGCCACGGGGAGAGGGGGAGAGGGGACCGGTGGAGAGGGTGGAGAAGGGCCACATGGAGAGGGGCCGGGCGGAGGACAGCACAGAACCAGGTGCATGTAGGAGGCCTTCTTGGATCTCCCAGGCCGTGGTGACCCCCACAGTCATGATGTGGGGTGAGTGGGTGCCATGGCCTGAACTCTGGAGAAGTAGCAACCCCCTCTAACTCTGTGGTGGCAGGAAGGGGACGCAGGACTTGGCCCCTGAAGTGGAGCGGGCAGCAGTGGCACCAGCCATCTGGGACCACACAGATCAGTGTGGCAGTCTCTGACCTCGGGGGGCTTCGGGCCATCAGGCGGGCAGGGACCCTGGGTCTTTCTGGCCCTAGAGCAGCTTGTTTCTTGAGGCTGCAGGACCGCAGGACAGCAGGCAGCTACAGCCCTGACCACTACAACAGGCCCAAGCCCTGGCCGCCTCCTTCCCGGATGGAGGAAGGGTGGCGTGGGGCTGGGAGCAAGCCTGCACTGAGGTGGCTGTTGGTGCCCAGTGACTGAGGTGGCTGCCCCCAGGGCGACCTTGTCCTGTCAGCAGACGCCCCCTCCCGACAGGCTGCCAGCCTCCCTGTGGAATCCCCGAGTCCCCGTGGGCAGCAACAGTCCCGGGGACGGGCACCTTGCTCCCAAGCCCCAGGTGGCCTCAGGTTCCGTGTGTCAGGCATGATGGAGCCTGGCGGTGAAGTGACCACAACACTGTCCACCTGCGCCCCAGGAGCCGAGATCCACACTAAGACAACTGCTCTCGGGACACCAGCTCCACTAGCTGGAAGAGGTGCTGGGCGCCGGGGCCGGACCCAGGCTGGCCTCCCCCTGGGCATAGCCCGGTCCCCTCCTGGGGTGGTCTAAGAGGCCCTTCCACTGAGCCGGCCTCGGAAACACCATGGCTTTGGAAGGTCCCTGTGAGAACGGAAGGTCTGCCGGTGAGGCCCAGGGGCTCCACAGGAGCCCGGCCAGGACAGGGCCACAGGCAGAACCCGGGAAAGGCATGAGGTCGTGCTCCATGATGGGCCTGAGGGCTGTTCTGGAGCGTCAGCCTCTTACCCAGCAGAACCTCCAACCCTGAGTGGCCCAGCTTCCTTGGAGCGAGGTGAGACTGCTGCGAAGGTCAGGCCAAGGACTGAGCACAAGTGGCCCCTCAGCCTCCAGGAGTATTGACGACCGTCCTGCTGCTGGAAGTCGTGTGTGATGACTGGAGCCTAAGCAGCCATCTGGGGCCTAAGGACCAATCCCCGGGGCTGATGATGGGGCCTGTGTTCCTGGCACCATGGAGCCCTAGGCCAGCTCGTGCCCCTCCTGCAGGCATCCTAAATGTGAGAGAAACTGCCCTGCGTCCAGTTTAAGGCACTAGGTGGAGGACAGGGAGGAGGGGTGAGGGCCCTATCACCACAGGCTGCACACTAGGACTGATTCAGGAAAGGCCGGCTGCAATGTCAGGACAAGCCAGCAGAGGGTGCAAGCACAAAGGAAAGCAAACACTAGGGTGGCCCAGGTCACGGCTCCCAGGTGGACCCACAGACACTGGGAAGTCCTGCCACACATCACACCTTCACAGGGCCACTGGGGGCAAGGTGGTCAGACACTGTGGGAGTAGGGACGGGGCTACTTCCTCATTAGTAAAATCGAGCTGCCCATAAATGTCACTCTCTAAAGACCAGAAGCTCATGGTTGAGGATGGGCTCATGAACCAAGAAAAACAATGGGGCGGGCGAGGAGGGCACCACAGCTGCAGGACAGCTCCAGCGGGTCCAGCTCCCAGGTCACTACAGCCACCCCGGGCGCCCTCCAGGAGCATGACAGCTTGTCCCCTGCTGTCACCCCTCAGCTTGCAACCCTGGGACCCACGTCCCCAGGTCGTCCCCGAGGCCACATGCTACCTGCTGCTGCCCTTGAGAGGGCCAGCACACCAGCCTGACCCCAGGAACCACACTCACTCCTTCCAGCGGCCGTGCACCCCGTCCCCAGGGAACAGGGAGCCAGGACCTGGCAGGGACAGCTGTGAGCTACTGGGGTGGCTGGGAGACATCCTGGCTCTTCCTAGCCCCAGGGACAGTCGCCCCAAATCACCACAGGGACCCCAGCAGGTCAGCCAGGGGGCACTGCCAGTCACAAGGCCAGGAACCTGGGAGGAGGCCAGCAAGGCTTTCTGGATGGACACCACCCACCATCTTGCTCCCACACCTCAGGCCCAGACAGATGCACAAGAGCAGGGCCACCCTATGACTAGGGCAGGACTGACCAGAGGGCTTCGGCAGGGGCAGAGGTCAGGAGGGCCACAGGGAGGACACAGTGGGTGTGCAATGTTGGCCAGGGGCCCTGGTCAGCTTGCCCCTGGTCCAACAGAGGACAGGGTAGATAGACAGAAGGGCTACGCACAGCAAAGGGTAGTGACCTAGGGCTCAGTGCTGTCCACTGACTCGAGGGCTGATGGCCAGCATTGATGGGAGGTGAAGCAACATGGGGAACGACAGATCAGGTGGTAGAAGAGAGGCCAGCACAGGTAGCCAAAGGATCCCGCTAAGGCATGGCCAAAGTGGGGGTCGCAGGAAGGTGAAGAACATTGCCTCTAAAGGAGGGGGACGTCGAAACACCAAGTGCAGGGTGCAGACAGGGCAGAAGGATTCGCTAAGTGACTCCGTGGTGTGCACAAAAGCAGTCCTCAGGTTGTGCCTGCCCTGAGTGACTCCATGGTGTGTAGAACAGCAGTCCTCAGGCTGCACCTGCCCTAGTGACTCCATGGTGTGTAGAACAGCAGTCCTCAGGCTGTGCCTGCCCTAGTGACTCCATGGTGTGGAACAGCAGTCCTCAGGCTGTGCCTGCCCTGAGTGACTCCATGGTGTGTAGGACAGCAGTCCTCAGGCTGTGCCTGCCCTAGTGACTCCATGGTGTGCAGAACAGCAGTCCTCAGGTTGTGCCTGCCCTAGTGACTCCATGGTGTGCAGAACAGCAGTCCTCAGGCTGTGCCTGCCCTGAGTGACTCCATGGTGTGTAGAACAGCAGTCCTCAGGCTGCACCTGCCCTGGTGACTCCATGGTGTGTAGAACAGCAGTCCTCAGGCTGCGCCTGCCCTAGTGACTCCATGGTGTGTAGAACAGCAGTCCTCAGGCTGTGCCTGACCTAGTGACTCCATGGTGTGTAGAACAGCAGTCCTTAGGCTGCACCTGCCCTGAGTGACTCCATGGTGTGTAGAACAGCAGTCCTTAGGCTGCACCTGCCCTGAGTGACTCCATGGTGTGCGGAACAGCAGTCCTCAGGCTGCACCTGCCCTAGTGACTCCATGGTGTGTAGAACAGCAGTCCTCAGGATGTGCCTGCCCCGGTGACTCCACGGTGTGTAGAACACCAGTCCTCAGGCTGTGCCTGCCCTGGTGACTCCATGGTGTAGAACAGCAGTCCTCAGGCTGTGCCTGTCCTAGTGACTCCATGGTGTGTAGGACAGCAGTCCTCAGGCTGTGCCTGCCCCGGTGACTCCATGGTGTGCAGAACAGCAGTCATCAGGCTATGCCTGTCCTAGTGACTCCATGGTGTGTAGAACAGCAGTCCTCAGGCTGCGCCTGCCCTAGTGACTCCATGGTGTGTAGAACAGCAGTCCTCAGGCTGTGCCTGCCCTAGTGACTCCATGGTGTGTAGAACAGCATTCCTCAGGCTGTGCCTGCCCTAGTGACTCCATGGTGTGTAGAACAGCAGTCCTCAGGCTGTGCCTGCCCTAGTGACTCCATGGTGTGTAGGACAGCAGTCCTCAGGCTGTGCCTGCCCTAGTGACTCCATGGTGTGTAGAACAGCAGTCCTCAGGCTGTGCCTGCCCTGAGTGACTCCATGGTGTGTAGAACAGCAGTCCTCAGGCTGTGCCTGCCCTGAGTGACTCCATGGTGTGTAGAACAGCAGTCCTCAGGCTGTGCCTGCCCTAGTGACTCCATGGTGTGTAGAACAGCAGTCCTCAGGCTGTGCCTGCCCTAGTGACTCCATGGTGTAGAACAGCAGTCCTCAGGCTGTGCCTCCCCTGAGTGATTCCATGGTGTAGAACAGCAGTCCTCAGGCTGCACCTGCCCTGGTGACTCCATGGTGTGTAGAACAGCAGTCCTCAGGCTGTGCCTGCCCTGAGTGACTCCATGGTGTAGAACAGCAGTCCTCAGGCTGTGCCTGCCCTAGTGACTCCATGGTGTGTAGAACAGCAGTCCTCAGGCTGTGCCTGCCCTGAGTGACTCCATGGTGTGCAGAACAGCAGTCCTCAGGCTGTGCCTGCCCTGAGTGACTCCATGGTGTGTAGAACAGCAGTCCTCAGGCTGTGCCTGCCCTAGTGACTCCATGGTGTGTAGAACAGCAGTCCTCAGGTTGTACCTGCCCTGAGTGACTCCATGGTGTGTAGAACAGCAGTCCTCAGGCTGTGCCTGCCCTGAGTGACTCCATGGTGTGTAGGACAGCAGTCCTCAGGCTGCACCTGCCCTAGTGACTCCATGGTGTGTAGAACAGCTGTCCTCAGGCTGTGCCTGCCCTAGTGACTCCATGGTGTAGAACAGCAGTCCTCAGGCTGTGCCTCCCCTAGTGACTCCATGGTGTGTAGAACAGCAGTCCTCAGGCTGTGCCTGCCCTAGTGACTCCATGGTGTAGAACAGCAGTCCTCAGTCTGTGCCTGCCCTGGTGACTCCATGGTGTGTAGGACAGCAGTCCTCAGGCTGCGCCTGCCCTAGTGACTCCATGGTGTGTAGAACAGCAGTCCTCAGGCTGTGCCTGCCCTAGTGACTCCATGGTGTGCAGAACAG